ACGATAGACAACGGGAAAATTTATTACCCCCAATAATATTAAGTTTCATTCTGTCAGACATGTGATTGTGCAGTGAAAGTGAGGGGTTTGCAAGCAGAGGAGACATTTTTCTCTCGAGATTTGAAATATATTACCAATAAAATATTAAGAGGAGGCAAGTCAAGGTAAAAGTGTTATTATTTTAATAATTATTAAAATTATATTATATTAATAATTTTTAAAATAAATTATAGTTATGAATCATTCAATTATTAGAATGTTTATAAATGAAATATTGAATTATTTGGCTGGTTTAATCTCATTAGCACAATTTATGTATGTGCCAAGAGCTCAAAATGGAATGATCGATCATGTAGTGAATATTAGTATGCAAAGATCGGAGATTTTTTAAGTATGGTGGTAAATTGTTTTAATCTGACGTGGTAGATTTGTTTTGTTTTGTGTTCAGATTGTGTTGCAACGAGAATATTATGGTCAAGGATTGTGTTTCATTGGGTGCAAAATCACATATGATTGTAATATGCGTAGTCTAGTTGTGTTGTATTTTTTTCTTTATCTAGAATTAATAAGGTTTTTAAAGAAACGCAACTTTAGACTATAATTTATAAATAAATATTTTACCGAGAAAAGAGATCAAAATAAACTATAGGTAAAAGTAATTGCAAAGACATTCAAACTTCTAACTTTCCCTTTAGTGACAAATACACCCTTAATTTAGGGTGGACAAGTATGGAATTTACATTTTCTTCGATTAGTTATTTATTTTATTATTTATGTTTTTCCTTGGATTTTAGTATATTTCCAAGAATTGTTCGAACAAAATAATACATTTTGCATTCAAATGAATTTTTTAAAACATTTAATATATGTATTGTATCTATAAGTTAAGACAATATTATTTTCTATAGGGAATCTATGGAAATGTGCCTTAACTGACAAAGATCACTTTCCTAATGATTTTTCATATAAACACCTTTTTATATTTATTTTTTTAAAATTATTGTATGTATAATTTATTAAAAATTAGGGTAATATTTTTTGTATGGAAAATCTATGAAAATGCCCCTTTAACTGACAAGGAAAGTATTTTCGAGAATTATTCGTGCAAAATAATACCCTTTATAGTTTTTTCTAAAAAAGATCATAATCTAAATGTATATTCGAATTTGCAAATTTTAATATTTAGATGACGTATAATCGCTTGGGGGTGCTAATCCTTCCCCACGCGTAATCGACTCCCGAACTCTTTTTCAAAACGAATTTCTGGTTAAACGCATATCAATTTTTATCTTTTAAAATTATTTTTCTTAAAATTATTTTAAATGACATTTTTTAGGTATTCGACCTACCTAACCCAAAGGTCAATGGTGACCCCAATTTGTTTATTTATGCATTTATTTTAAAACCCAACATTTTCCAAGATTAAGTTGGATCGCTCCCCGCCATAGCCCTAAAAAATTTAAGGACCGTTCCGACATAAGGTCAGGGACTCTTAATTACGAAAAAAAGTAAAATGGTTTGAGAGGGTTATCCCATAATGGATCTCTATAAAATCTGATCTGAAATAATCAATAAATAGATCCGTTACTAATAATTAAAGAAATATTATAATAATTTTTTTAGTATTAAATTCATCCTTGAAAATAATTATATTTGAATATATTCAAACTCATAGTTTTTTTTTACTCACCAAAATCAATTTATTAATCAAGCCCAAGTCAATAACCTTATAACAAACCTTCTTAAATCTAAATGGAGGAATCAACGTAGGCAAAGGAAAAACAAAACTTCTGCCACAGCAGATACACCGCCCTCGCTGAGGCCACGCAGAAACAATCCCAGCTACACAATTGAATTTGTTGCATGGAGACACAAAGGTAAAAACGCACCGACCAACACAAACTTACTACCCCCACCCAACATTGAAATACCACCCCAGCTGTGCTACAGTAGCATATGAAAATAACTCCGACTCACAAGAAGCAGAGGAATACAGGAAGACAATTAAAACAGAATTAAACAATGAGCAATCGGGAACTAAAAACCAACTCCATGACAACTAGCACAGCAAAGCACCAGTAAAAGTTTGGCTTCATTGGTTGCTGTTGGAAGGACTGCTCTCAAAATTCAAAACTTGCTGATTTAAATTAAAATTGATTTGCTTGTACTCTCCTCAAGGCCAACCTCAATATCCTTCAACTCCTTGCAAGGTAATGAGGTGATAACCTCCCTTTTCCAGTGCCAAAAATTATTCTAATAGTTTTTTTTATGTGGGATAACAACTACACAATGATTCAAAACTTTTAATGCCAAAATAAACTTAGCTAATCTTTTCTAAACTTTTCGCCGCTTACCTTTTTTTTCTTCTTTATTTTTGTTGGTTGCAACGGCACGTTATAGTATTGGTTGTCTACTGTCGGTATTTTTTATATTGCATTTTTATTTTTTTTCTTATTTTTCAAAAAAAATTAAGAACTTTGTCTTTATATCGTGCTTTCCTCTGTCTTTTGGCATGTTTTCGATCCTTTTTATTGGTTATTTTAGTTTTTTTCTTTGTTTAATGTACTCAAGGTTTAATTTGACGTCGTCTCAACTGATCAAGATGACAGTTATTTGTTCTCACGCTTTACACCCTCTTATTAAATTTGAATACACAATTTGCGTTTTAATATAGTTTTCTCACAACGCTCGACTCTGATTTACGATTGTTGGTGATCTTTCAGTAGTTTGATCCCCTGTTGTAGTTCATTTACTGATAAAGTCAGATTTTTAACATTTTCGTTGTATGGTCATTATATGATTTCAAACGGCTAGTTTATTGTTTCAATGATTATATGAAATGTCATAATTATATGTTTAGTTTACGTATATGGTTATAAAATTTCATTGTAATTATGAATATTTCTTCTTTTATAATAAAACGACTTCAATTTATATAAAAAATAAAATTATAATATCACCTTTTTAATATCAAATAGACTCGACTCAAAAGCTCGAAATATTATTTAGTGGGGGTAGTGGGAGTTGATATTAAAATACTTGGTCCTAAACAGGTGGGCCTGGGAGATAATGGTGAGGCGAGCCCAATGGCAAATGAAGACTCTGGGCTTACTGATCAGTATCTGTTGGAATTGGGTAACAAGATGGATGATGACATTAATAACTTTGTACACGTGATAGTTCACGTGAATAATTTTATCGATGTAACATTATTATATTGTATAGGACATGTCAACAAATAGTTGAAAAGCACTAGAAGAATCTTAAAAACAATTAAACCCTTTAACTTAGTAATTTACCCAAATATACTCTTAATTATAAAAAAATTAAAATTTTGAAAATAATAAGGGTAAATTACACCATATAAAATTGAATTTTAAATGATATATCATTTATATCATTGAACTTTTAATTACTCCGATTATAGTATTAAACTTTTATTTTGACTTTAATTATATCGATGAGCTTTTAAAATTTAAATAGTATGATGACATAGACAAAACACCATCATTTTGGCGCGGCTATTATTGCCCAAAATAATGTCTTTTAAGTACTTATTTTTAAGCGTGTATCAATTTTTTCACTAAATTTTAAAAATATTTTATTTTAGGCATTAAACTTTTTTTCCGTAACTGACAACTAATCACTACTCATTATTGATTGTCTTTTGTGACAATATTGATATCCTCGTTCATTTAAAATTTAATGATATCTAAAATAATTTATTTTTAAAGCAATTAATTTAATAGTTTGACAATTATATCATCGATAACAATATTTTTATCCAAATTCGTAGAACATTTTAACATTTAAAAGCGTGTAAGTAATTATTATTTAATTTTAAAGATTCTCCTATTAAAAGATTCTGTTGTGATGGTGGTAAAATCCATTTTAAAATTACAAGTGACAAGCGAGAAATACCGACTCCTTTTTCCAAAGAAACTAAAATTAATTATTCAAACTGCCCAATTAATATATTACTAAAATATAAGATCTTATCTTTAGATGTAAAATAAAAATGATTAATTATGTCATAAATAAATAAGATTTTTAGATAAAGTTATTATATTCACTTTTTAAAATAATAAAGTTGAAAGTTTTAGTTTATAAGTTCCTTGATGTCCCCACTTAAATAAGTTTATCACTTTTGTATCTCTTAATTTTATTAATATGCATTTCGTTTATATAAACGATGCTTGAATATTAATGATTTATTATTTATTTTTGAAAATTTAAGAACATATTTTATAACATTTAAATATTATTTTTAAATTTATTTTATCAATAATAAATTAAATAATAACTAATAATTAATATATTATTATATTAATTAATTTTTTTGTAAAGATATAATCTATTAATATAATGATAATATGTTATCATAATTAGCCGATCCCAAATCCATCAAATTACTAAGATGAGACCATCAATGATATTATATTTGATATTATTATATTAATTAACTTATTTCTCCAGATTTGAAATATTAAAGTGAAAATATATTAAATTTCACGATAAACTATACAAATAATTTTTTTATGTTTTTGATCTGACCTATTTTGATCATCGGTTCATAAAAAAGAGCCACATTACACCCTAGGGCCTGACCTTCTTCTTCCCAAAAAAAAAAAAAAAAACCTGCCTGGCCTTCAACATATCTACCTCATGGACAAAACCCCGTAGATCCATTTCACATAAATAACAACTCGATTCTTCTTCTTCTACTACCAAAAAAAGCAACCTGACCTCAAGTATCACATCAAGGATGTACATCAATATTAGAGTATATGGATGAGTTTATGTCACATAAAGTATTAGATCAACGTTCAACTAGCTTTACAAGTGTCGAACTAAAACAATATTATTATATTCAAATAATCACACTATTTAGATTTTAATAGCCTATCAATATAATTGAAATTGATTTAATATTATAATTGAAGTAATTAAAAAGTTTAAAATGATGCGGAGTAGTTTACCCTTATTATTATGCGGAATTGCAGAACATTCAAAAACAGCAATCTTCGTCTTTATAAACAGAAAACAAAGGTGAAGGGCGGACAAAGTTGAAGAAAGAATGGGCAATGAGTTTGTTTATTGCAGCTTCCTCGTCTTGCTTCTTGTCTGGGTAATTATTCTTCTACTGAAGTTCGTGTTTCATTCTCTATTCTAGCAAAATCTTATGGTATAGTGTTTCTGATTATATCTTGGAGCTGATCAATGATATTAATTTAACTTTTTGACAGCTTGCTCCTGGAAATGTAGCAGCTTCTCACATGGAGGAAGATGATGTTCGTGTTCTTCGACTCCCTGAGGGAAAAGAAGATGGTCATTCATCATCCCACATGCGTATGGGCATGGCCATGGGCATGGAGGAGGAGGATCTCCTGAACCCAGCGGCCAAGGTGTTCGCCACCATAAAGGATGTTGAGGTCGGAAAGACGATGCCCATCTATTTCCCCTACATAGATGACCCATCCTCTTATCAGTTCCTCCCTAAACAGAAAACCCATCACATTCCTTTATCATCGGAGCAGCTACCGGAGCTGCTCCGGTTCTTCCCCTTCTCCCCTGATTCTAACCAAGCCTTGGCAATGAAACAAACACTGAAGATCTGTGAGATGGAAGCCCCCAAAGGAGAGGTACAGGGCTGTGTTACATCTTTAGAATCAATGGTTGATTTTGCAGAAAGTATCTTCGGACCAGACTCGAAAGTCGGAGTAGTAAGATCATCTCTGATATCAAAATCAACTCCTCTTCTCCAGAACTATACTGTTGTTGAATCCAAAGAGATTTCAACTGGAAAGCTCATAGCATGCCACAATGAACCCTATCCATATGCAGTTTACTATTGTCATTTCCAATGGGGCACTGTAAACAAAGTGTTCATGGTTTCTCTTGTCGGTGAGAACGGTGATGAGGTAAATGCAGTGTTCCTTTGTCACATGGATACATCTTCATGGAGCGCCGGTCATATCGGATTCCGTCTTCTCCGGCTGAAGCCGGGGGAGTCCGAGATCTGCCACTTCTTTCCGGCGTATGACATGGTTGTGGTTCCTTAGTAACTTTCTGTCATACCGTATTCCGTCGTGAAAAAGCTCGAATAAATCTTTGTTAAGGACTTAAGTTCAATTATTTATTTAATTTTTCTTTTAATGTTCAAATCACTTTCAACCGTTAATAACTTTAAATTCAGCAACGCGAAACAAAGATTATCACCGTCAAAGAAAAAGCTATCCCTACTCTGTTCATTTGATCCTGATTGCCTACAACGTCAATTAAAATTATGTATTTCTTTGGATCTAACCTTCTATTATATTTTCACAGTTATGTATATTTATTTAATATTATTACATATCCCAAAGTAAGAAAAAAAAACAAGATTTGACTTGAAATTATTTATGGGCCATGCTCATGAAGCAGTGAAATGCTATTACTAAAAACCCAACCTTAAATTATTTAAGGGTAAACTATACTATAAATTATTGAATTTTATACCACATGTCATTTATATTATTAAATTTTAATTTCAACCTCAATTTTTTAAGTATTATTATACTAAATATAAGTAACGATTGTCCGATCTTATTAAGTAATTAAGCTAAACTATTATACCAAACAATATAAGAAATGGTTTTCTAATCTCACTAAGCAATCACGAATATCTAAATATTTTATCACTATATGCGATTACAAACATATAAAAATGAACATGGTCCAAACATATAAAAAAATTGTCCTTAAAGCCACACAATGTAGCTTTAACTATAAATCACATCCGTAATTTATCATACAAGGCACAGACCTTTCCTCACAAGTATATGCATGGCTTATTCAAAATTTTAGTTTATTTTATTTTACAACGTTATGCAAGGATTTATGAGTCTCTTACTAAGTTATTGCCCTTATATGATTTATTATGGACTTATTGATATAAGTTTTTTTTGTCATTTTACTCTAAAGAATTTTAGTACTGTAGAAATGTGGACATTTTAGTTTATAAAGGTATTTTCTTAATTTCACCCATATAAGGGCATTTTAATAATTTTTTCCCTTACAAAGTTAATTTTGTCAATAATCACATCTAAACCTCTTATTAGATTTATCTCGCATTTAGTTCACTTTACTCGATTTTAAAGTTGAATTTTTCTTTTTTTTTAACCATAAGTATCGATACCAAGAAAGGGGCATCAATACTCAATCTTATGGCATCAATACTCTTAAGTAGTATTGATATCAAAATGGCATACTAAAATCCAACCTTTAATCTTGGGATCGATAATCAAGGATTGAAATCGATATCTAAGGGGTAATATTGATACTCCTAGAATATTCTATCCAAATGTTCACTCTGATTTTTTACACGCGTCGTTTTCGCGTTAAAACAATTCCTTATTCCTGTAGACACCAAATTTCGACTGATAAACATTATTACACTGTATAATTACAAATTATATTATATAATAATAATGTTTACATTTGTTTTTTACAGGGCCCAAATGCAAATAAGAAAGCCCAAGTACAAGTGACCCAGCAGTTGGCCCAAGATCCAACCCGTGTCCAGACCCACGACCCGGTTCCAGGAGGACCCGGTTCAGACCCAGCTTCCCATCTCTTCTCAACGCCGTATGACTCTCAACCAAATGCGCTTGGAACGGGTCAAAGCAACAACAACCCCGATTTATCCGATGATGAGATTTCATGGACACCAACAAACAGCCATTTCAGTCCGATTAAGACTCTACAACCAAGTCTAAAAATAGGACGTTTACTACTATAAATAAGAGAAGGAATTTCATACGAGGGGGATTCATTCGACGGAATCGGAGAGGAAAGCACGTGGAAAGCATTCGAAAAGAGGGGAATTAGAAAAAACTTGTACTCATATTCGAAATCAATTCCAAAGAAATCAGATTCAAGCAACATTTCCCAAGAGGTATTTTATATATACATATATATATTTTTACATACATGTTTAGTTTCGAAATAATAGAATAAAAATAAAGAAAATATTACGACCTTACCTTGGTGTGGCCGAGAGAGGTAGGTTCGGCTTTCCACGACGAATATGGCTTCTTCTCTCTTTGCGCCGTAGTGAGGAAAGCAAAAGGAGGAGAGCACAACTGAAAGAAATGAATTCACGCCTGATATCAAGGGTTTTTTTATTTTCATGGAATTTTCGGGTTAACTAGAACATGGGTCATTAGAGAGTTCCAAATTTGTAGCTATGGAGTTATGTTTTAATTTATTTCAATTTGGCCATTAGTTGCATTTGTTTTTATTTTGGACTCTTTATTTTACTTTTATTTTAATTTAGTCATTTCTGTTTTATTTATTATTTTTTTTCTTTCACAGTTTTAGTTTAAATATTTTTTTATTTTATTTTTATTTTTATTTTTTTTAAAACTAACCCTTTTACTTTTTTATTTTATTCATTTTATTTTCTTTTTATTTATTATTATTATTTTTATTATTTTTGTTTATTATCTTTTTTTCACTAACTTTTAGTTATCTCTCTTACATATTTTATCTTAGAATTTGTTTTCTCGTATTTATTTTTATTTTATCATCTAACATTTTTTGGCATTTTTAGTGGTAATTTCAATCAATCAAAGGTAATTATTCGAATCAAATTTTTAAATTTCAATTTAAATTCTTAATTTTCGCTACTAAGACAACCGAAAAATTAATTGGTACCGAAAGGGCGGTTCAAGGGTGCTAATCCTTCCTTAACCGTAACCGACTCCCGAACCCGACACATTTTGGTACAACGCAAATCAAGTAAGATGGTGTCCGACGCACCTAAATTCGTTTTAAAGTGGTCGGTGGCGACTTTAAAGCATTTAATCCAAGTCGAAGCCCAATTCCGGGGCCCACCCGAAAGACGATTACGATAGCTTGGCAACTCTGCTGGGGATGGGTAAGTGAGTCAGGCCGAAATTAATTTTCGGTTGTCTTTTTTAGCGAAAATTACAAGTTTAAATTTTAATTTATTTATTTGATTCTTATTATTTATCTTTGGCTATTTTTTTCAAATAAATAGTTGTACTAACGTTTTTTAATGATTTCAGATTTTTTCAAAATTGTCATCTCTAGCTCTATATGTAACACCCCAACCCGTACCCGACTCGAATATGAGTCCGAGGTGTCACTTTGACTTTTCAAACTTTGACTCTTAAAGAAAAACCCCGAGAATTTAAAACTTTGTTTAAAACAAAATACGTTAATTTACATAAAAGAGACCACAAAATACAAAATCGATCAGAGTGCTCATAATTAACGACTTATTACAACCAACACTCTATACACAACAAAATACCTACTTTGTCGATTACTTCTGATATGATCTTCTAGTAATAATAATGTCCTTGCTACTTCTATTCTTGTTCTTCTCGTTTCTTGGTACCTACGTGTAAATCACTTACACGCTAAGTCATAGACTTAGTGAGGCAATAAATAAACATGTAACAGTAGATTCATGAATATGCATTCTTACCATTTGATCATGATATTTCAATATGCATGTATATATTTCATATGATATATATAACCAAGTCATGCACACATGAAACTTACCTTTTTGCATCACTTTCACTTTCATTTATATTTCAATTGCCCATGTATATTGTTGTTGAGAACAAAGGTATGTGAGTACATTGAGGTTGTGCACTAATGCTGTCACCACAGCTCGTATAAATTCCCTCATGGGCACTGAACATTTGTTCAGTATTCGTCCCGAATGACTGCTATATATGTCCCGTAGGACCACTACGTCCCGAAGGACTCCAATACCATCAACTCTTGGCATGCCAACTATACTATGGCTCTCGTATCATATACTATGGGCATTTATGATGAATACATTTCTCATCACTTGTTCTTTCTTTTCTGTCACATACCACATGTATGTGTAACCATATATTTCATATCATATCACATGTATCACGTATTGCATATTCATATGTCATTTCATATATTCACATAGCTTATCTCATTTCACATTGGTCATGTCTCATAGCATATATCACATATGCATATAATCATGTATATCATATCATATATCTTATGTTTTATGTTCTTATGTCTATGCATATCATATAACATATATAATAACCTATACCCATTTCATGTATTCATGCACATATAAGAATCACAAATCAAATAACATTTTAGGAGTCACTTTTTACCATAGTAACTCCATCACTAGCTCATCGCAAGCCAATGTTCGTTCAATAATATAAGTACAATTAAAATTGCACTCACCTTAGCCATATTTGCTTTTATTCGATCCTAATCCTTGATTATTCCAAAACTTGTTTAGACTCAATATCTACATAAATATAACATTTCAAAACAACTATCAGAAGCCTAAACCTTAAACTTGATGTTAACAACTTAAACCAAATTAAAGAACCAAATTTAATTTTTCATTTAGGGGGGAATCGATACCCCCCAGGGGAATCGATACCCCCTGAACATATTGGAATTTTTCGTTCAAGAGGGGGAATCGATTCCCATTCATAGGGTATCAGTTCCCTCTACCCAGAAATTGTATTTTAAGCCCGAAAATCATCAATTCTTCATTCAATTCTTGTATTTTAAACCTCTACCATGTCATTAAACTCAACTACCATTACTTAAACCAACTTATATCCATGAAAATCATCTATAACTTCAAAATCCTATCCTTCATATGTAATTCAAGAATCATACTCAAATTTCAATATGTTCTAAATACAATTCTAACACTTCATATTCCTTAATTAACATGATGACAAGTCAAATTTAACTTCAAATTCAACTTATCAACTCTTTTCCATAATTTCATATAAAATCCCGTTTCCTTTAATCTTTTATAACTTCTTCATCTTTTGATCATAAGACAACTTAAGCTTTCCTTAAGCTTAGTTATCATATAATGATCAAAACCTAACCTTTAATTCAACAAATAACCAACAAATCAGAAAACCCATACCTTTTTGTGGCTCTCTCGTATGAAGGAAGAAGAAGAAGAATTCTCTGGATATTACTTCTTTCTTCTTATACTTTTACCCTGTATATATCCCCAACA